TTACAGTACATGAGTTTTAATTGACCTTGGAAGGCTAGGGCCAAAATGTTGGCTTTCCTTGTGGCCCTCCTTTTTCTCTAACTTTTGGTCTTCAAACTTAGGTTGTTAACCCTCTATAATCTAAATTATTTATCGTGAATTTTTCACTATATTATGGGATTTTGCAGTACTGTACAGTATACGTATATTGTTAAAATTATGTAGGTTTATGAGTTTAGAAAATGTCTAAGAACATTAGAAATGTTTTTAAAAGTGTGGGAACGGTTTTAAGAGTGTGGGAAGGGTTTATAAAGCCTTAGAATATATTTTAGGGAAGGGTCTACAGGGTATTTAGGGGGTCTCACTACTAGATTGGACTCATAGTGATCTGCCTGTTTACAGCCTCCCAAAAGCTAGGATTACAGGCATGTGCCACCATGCCTAGTCTCAGCCTTAAAATATATATAAATACTAAAATAAATATTATATCACCGCATCACTACTACTTATCGTGGGGACAGTAACCTCTGTGATAAGTGAGGGACCCTTATACACTGATTTCTCCTCAGCAAGTCTTCAACAAAGAACATGAAGTGGCTAAGTCCGATTCCTTCCAGCTCCCACAGCTGGCCCTTGACACTGGCTGTTACACTCAGTCCTTGTAATATCCCTACAAAGTAGCTAGCACTGCAGTTCCTCTTCAGAAAACGGAAATCAAGACTCAAGTGAAAGGACATATTTAGTTAGGGACAGATCTTTTTTTCACTTTTATTTTTTTCAATTTATGTGTTTGGTGCAGGGTCTCACTATGCAGCTCAGACTTGTAGCGATCTTCCTGTTTTCAGCCTCCCCAGCACTGGGATTCCAGGCGTGTACCACACCCAGTTTTGGTGGCCGGCACAGGGCATCCAAGGTTCCAGGGCTGGCACAGCATGAGGTACTGGGCATCAAACGCAGGTCCTTGCACTTGCCAGGCTATCTCCCCAGCCCTAAATATTTTTTTGAACCAGGGTCATGTCCTGTAATTCAGGCTGTACTTGAATTCCTAGCAATCTTCCTGCCTCAGCCTTCTGAGTGCTGGGATTACAAGGGTGCACAACTGCACCCGGCTTAAACTTTTTTTTTTTTCTTCAGAACTGGGGACCGAACTCAGGCCCCTTGCCAGGGAAGCGCTTATTCCACTGAGCCATCTCCCTGGCCCCTTAAACTTTTTTTATACACTACATATTTTGTGTATAGTGTGTTTCAAGTTGGAGTAGCTACATTCCAAGGGCTCCATAGCCACATGTGGCAAGCAGGTACCACACTGGTTTGCTAAGACACTGTAAATATAATCCACCTCTTGAGGCACAAGCCACGGACAGAAGGGAGAGGCAACCTGGTGGCGTCCAGAGATCTTTAGTAGCCCATAACGGTTCTTTCTCATTTCTTCTTGCTACCTTAGCTTAGTAGTTTCAAATCAAAACTAGGAAAGTAAATCACTTTTTTTTTTTTTCGCAGCACCAGGGATTGAACTCAGGTCCCTGCGCTTGGCAGGCAAGCACTTATTCTACTGAGCTATCTCCCTGGGGCCTTTGTGTGTGTGTGTGTGTGTGTGTGTGTGTGTGTGTGTGTGTATGTGTTTTTTTTGTTTTTGTTGAACCGGGGATTGAACTCAGGCCCTTGCGCTTGCCAGGGAAGCGCTTATTCCACTGAGCCATCTCCCTGGCCCTGTGTATGTGTTTTGTAAGTCCCACTATTAGTCAACCTAAAAAGACGCCAATGCTAAGCCGTGGGCTGGGCTGGGAAGAAGAAGGAGTCCTGTTTTCCTGTTCTGTTGTTCTCACACCAGCCTAGGAGGCGTCAATCCACTTCCATCCCGGAGACAAAGGGCAGGCTGGCCGTAGGAAGCTCCAGCCTGACCAGTTAGCCTACAGCTCGGTGGCCCTGTGGGCAGCCCCTTGGGGGCAGAGAGTAAGGAGAACTGGGAGAGGCCAGGGTCGCACGGGCCCCTTCCAAGGCCTAGCCTCAGTGACCGCAGAACTTGTAAGCACCACCTTTCCCAGGTCTCACACCTCCACTAGTGTCACCCCAGGACCAAGGGAGTCTGGGGGACACGCAGGATCCAAACCTCCGTGTTAGGGTCAGATGAAGGTAATTAATGCTTCTTCTTGCTGAAAATATGCGGGGGTCTGTCTCCCTGTGTGTCCTCTCATCAGTTCTTTGACCTGCGTGCAATCTGGTAGGGGATGGTGGGCAGAGCTCCAAGCCCCTGTACCTCCAAATCCCAGCCCACAGGCAGAAGGCTGTGGACACCACAGGCTGGGGAAAGGAAGCCAGCACCGCTCGGGGCAGCTGTGTGAGCCAGGGAGGCAGCTGGGTTCCAACCCCACAGGCTCCTTTCAAAGTCTGCATTATGGGCCCGGGGAGATGGCTCAGTAGAATAAACACTCCCAGGGCTGGGGAGATGGCTCAGTGGAATAAGCGCTTCCTTGGCAAGCTCACGGACCTGAGTTCAATCCCTGGTTCTGCCAAAAAAACAAAACAAAACAAAACAAAACAAAAAACCCCAAAGTCTGCATTAAGGCCACATTGAAAAGAGAACACTTGCTTATGCAGAATGTCTCTATCCTAAAGATTTGATAAAATCGCTCATTGTGCTATGTTGCATGCAGGTTTTTTGTTTAAAATTGTTTTTTAGTTCAATCCCTGGTTCCACCAAAAAATAAAAAATTGTTTTCTAATATACATGTCCTTAAGTATGGAAAATAAAATGATTTGTTATTATTATTATTTAATTGTATGTATTTGGTACGAGGTCTTACTACCCATCTTGGATCTGCAGTTTAGACTCTAGTGATCCTCCCATTTCAGCCTCCCTAGTGCGGGGATTACAGGCGTGTGCCACCTCTTGGTGGCCGGGGCTGGTACAGCATGCGATATTGGGGATCGAACCCTCGTCCTTGTGCTTGTCTAGGCAGGTGCTTATACCGCTGAGTTATCTCTGTGCCTGGATTTTTTGTTTTTTAAAAAAGTAAATTGGAGGGGCTGGAGATAGAGCTCAGTGGCATATGCACCTACCTGGCAAACACAAGGTCCTGAGTTCAATCCCCAGTATCTAAAAAATAAAAAAAATTGGGCAGGCAATAGAGTTCAGAGGCTATGGTAA